ATATTTATAATTACATGTATATCATTAGATATACATCGATGTATGCAGATACAATTGTATACCAAAAAGCAAACAACACACGTACACGGATGCGATCTCACTGGACGAGTCAGACTTGGCCGCTTTGGCGTGGCACACGGCTACAGGAAGGTTCTTGAAGTGTGGCGGTTGACTCAATAAACTCGCACTCACAAAAAATGAGTCCATATCCAGGTGCATAATTACCCGAGCCTCCAGCGGTATCCGAATTTCGGGCTCAGTACGCCTGGGCTTCGCGCGGATCACGCTGGTGACATAATTTTTGGCGGCTGAGAGGGATGTGAGATTATATGGTTTGGATTGAATGCGTAGTGTGTGGGTGGGTCACGAATGTACGTTGTTAACTTTGCTTTACCTATATGTATTGTATAACATTAATCCCACTTTTTCCTATACCTAATACACAAGATTAATGTTTATGAATTCTGAGAGATGGGCTCAGAACATTTGGGTTTAATTATGGTACGCTGACATGGTCTTTATATAGATATATATCTTATATGTATATATATATATATATTATTTATAATATATATATATATATAAATATATCAACATACAAGAGAAACCGATTCTTCCACCCACCACTCATTGCTAAAAACAAACCACAACCCCTCTATATACCTCCCTACACTGTACCAATCTACACTACACCTACCTGCACCGGTGCGCGCGAGATGACTCAGTCGCGACTGTCCGAAAAACTGGTCCACAAAGCCCGGGTTATCGATAGATGACAGTTTCTTTTGCGTATCCTGATTGCGTGGTGGTGGCATCAACCTTCGCGAGGGCATGTCCGTCTGCTTCTTTATCATCGCATTAGTCATTGTCTTGGGCCCACTCTCCGATCCGGGGCCATTGAGACCCAGATTTGCTATCTTGTTTGAGCCAGGTTTCGGAATTGTTGTCCCTGATTTGTCGGCCTCTTCATTTACAGTAGCATCTGCACCTCCTATGGCCCTAGCTGACAGACCCGCAATCCCTGTACCCGGTGTATCGGTTGATATACGACCCTCGGTGTAAGTGCCAAGAACAAAAATGTCAGTGGGCGAGTTCAAGGTGCTTGTCTGTTCTGGACCTGCACGGTGTATACTCTCCTCACCTGAGCCACTCGAGTGCCCAGAGTTTGTGCTAACGATAAGTTCGTTTGTTGGTTGAAGATGTTCGGTACCTACACGGCGTGTTCTCTCTCTTTCAGAGCCACTCGCGTGTGCTTTCATACCGCCAAACAGACCACACGGCCCGAACAAATCCGGTGGTGCCACAGTCTCCTTGGCATCAGCACTCACCAGCCGCTGTAGTCGGACCCCGTTCTCAGCGCCAGTGGAAAGATCGATACCTTTCTGCACGCCTTCCATATTACTTGTACGCTCAGCTGCAGAGGCCGTCCCCTCTATACCTGGACCAGGGCTCTGAATATTGACAGGTTCACCATCCGTCTGTGCGCAAATTCGCAATACACTCGCCAGATCCCCAAAGGCTCTAGTGGGCTCTTGCGCCTCACCGGTACCGTCCAGGCTGCTACTGTAATCGCCCAAAATGACCATTCCATCCTTCTCCCTCTGTGGGGGTGTGTGGCTGCCATCAGCACCACTGCTGCACTCCACATGTGTGCCCAAGGTTCGGCTAAGCAGGTCTTCAGATCGCTGTGCAGTTTCAGTGCCGCGCTTATACACAGAGGAATCGCTGCATGTTGCGTCTGCACCACCATCCGTGTCACAAACACATGCAGTCTTGTGTACCGAACTTCCGATTGCATCAGTCGAACCTGTACCGCTATGAACAGGGGCAGTACCGCTATTAACAATCTCGCTTCTAACCACGTGCAGATGTGAACCGTGTGAAGAAGTAGAAGAAGGAGAAGATCTTGTAGGCGTGTGCGTGTGCGTGTGTGTGTGCACGTGAGAAAGCACATTCTCGCTTGTCATTGCCGGCTCTCGGTTCTCGTCTTTCCGTCTAGCCATGGCCTCTCTTTTGTCACTCAGAGCATCCAGCCCTATCAGAGAGGGGTAGGCGTGCTTGTGCCGATTCGTTGTCCTTTTAGTGGATGTGGGTGTGAAACTAGTCTTTATTTTTCTGGTGGATGTGGGCGTGTTCTTATTTATACTCGTTCTATAGTGTGTGGGTGTGTTATTATGTATATGCTTTTCAGTGTGTGAGGGTGGGTGTGTGATACTACCTTTAGTCCTCACAGTCGGGGTGTGTGCAGTGCTTGTCGTTTGCGTATCAGGCGACGCGTGGGTGTTGCTAGGCTGCGCAGTATTCCGGGGTTTATGTAATCCACCACTTACATGCCTATCACTGCTCATCTGCTTGGTATCCTTATCTGTGTGCGTAGGAGTCTGTCTCATCCCATCTGGCGTTGTATTTCCCATCGCCCCGTCAGCGTGGTCATACTGCTTGCTATGACAGTATGTGCGTAGATTATCCCATTCCTTCATGTCTAGTGTCGTATCTCTCGACTGGCCGTCCGCGTGGTCACCTTTAGGTGTGTGTTGCTCACGAGCTGTATCTCTCGTACCCGCACCCTCTGGCTCAACGTCAGGTGACTGTAAGCGTGTGCGTGGACGTATACATGCTGATATGGAACTAGATGCATCGCCCACAGTTTCTGTATCTGCTATTGGCACCGCACCTATAGACCCTTTCGCAGCACTAGAATATATTTTTAGCCCAGTAGGTAAAATATCACTAGGGGCACGGTTCAGATTCAGGTCTTCCCCTCCCGATTCTCCGATGGTCGCAGTCCCGTTATTTTCATACACCCCAATTTTATCCGGAAATATTGGACCATTTAACTGACCTTCAATCGCAAGACTTTCGAGGGGGTCTGCTATTTTATGCGGTACATCTGCGAGCAAATCATGTCTCTCGTTACTTTTGTGTTGAGGGACCCACCCGATTTCAGCCGCATCTACTATTTGTGGCTCCAAAGCAAGTAGATTGGCTTTATTTTTGGTCCTGGCTTTCCCGTTTGGTTTCGATTTGTCCGCGGTTGGGTCTGCGAAGCTCAGCATTGACTAATAGATATATGGGCGGATGATACGGTTTCAGCACATTTCAGTACAAGTTTTGGTTTCGGTCTACTGTGTTCATAATAAAAGCAGATGTGTGCGGAAGGGACTGCCGACAAGGTCAAAGATGGCAACGGAAAGAAATACATCTGAAATGATCACTGACACTACCGCATTCAAAATATGAACAATTAGATTTGCAAATGACACCTCGATCATGCATGTTTCACTATATACATAAGGACAGGGCAAGGGAAAAGACATATACAAGCGTCTGTATACACACTAAGGGCCTTCTATAGGTGAAGAAATACGAGAAATTGTTTGATATTCAGCTAGATTGACAGTCACAACACAGCTTGACGCCGCGAAAAGGAGGAGCCGTGTTGATAAACTAAATGTATAGATGTATAAGTGAAAGAGATCAAAAGTCTGGATATAGAACGAAGGATGCAATACTTGTGAGCTATATTGTGATATTATCAACCACGAGTGCTTAAACCTCGACAACAGTATGGTAATAAGCATGTATCAGTTATATGCTGAGAGTATAGCCAACGCATGTACAAAGTACACAGATTGAAAGTAGAGGACATACTTGGCCCTCGGGTTTGAATAACTGATACAGAGCAATTGGTAAGACCCGATTCGCTGCGACGGAGTCCACCAGCCAGTCTGGGGTCACAACTTTGTCCTTCCTGCCATTTAGACATAACGAATGTGAATAAAATGAATATCTCATACTTCGTAGGTGTGGTATATTACTATGCAACCCTGCCCTACCTACAACCCATACGCATATTTCTAAGGCGAGACATAAAAAAGATACGCAATATGTGATTCGAATTTATTGGAATTGTGATGTAGTATAAATGAGCTCTCTAGCACTGCAATTATCTGGAAGTCGCACAGATACAGTCGTGGCCACTATACGTGTGGCTATGGTCGTCTGGATGAGGAACCGGGCATACTGTCATGACGTGAACACACACCGTCATAGTTTTATTCATAGTACTGTATCTCCTTTCGCACATACCGCACTTTGTTACACTTCGTATGATATATTGACGTTCCGATGTTATATGCGAACACACAACTCAAATCTTGATACCCGGCACTTTGTTGGATTTCGCATGAGATAGAGACGTGAGATTGTGCGTGCACACAATCTTAATAGCGAAGTATCAAACTTTCCCCTATACATATTGTGAGTGGCAAGATGCATGTGAGCACGACCTAAATTTAAGAAGTTTCATACTTCCCGTACTTTCGTTGCTACTTAGCGAACTTTGCCCGGCTTCGCAAGCGATAGAGACATGGCAATAATGTGCGTACACACAGTCTTAATAACGAAGTACCGAACTTTCCCCTATACATATTGTGAGTGGCAAGATGCCTGTGCGCACGACCTAAATTTAAGAAGTTTCATACTTCCCGTACTTTCGTTGCTACTTACCGAACTTTGCTAGACTTCGCATGTGATAGAGACGTGGCAATAATGTGCGTGCACACAGACTTCTTGAAGAAGTGTTGCCACGTGCCCCCGTATCTGAGTACCAGCACTTTGAGCTCGTCCGCTGACGGCTGTGTGTAGCCTGTGACGTAGATGACCTTGCCTTTGAGAAGCGTGGACTGCATGCGGTCCTCAGGTGACACCCTATTGCATAATTGAGATATATGAAACGACGGTAGAACAACTGAGAGAGTGTGTGTAGCCTGTGACGTAGATGATCTTGCCTTTAAGAATTTTCAGATGACACCCTATTGTATAGTTGAGATATATGAAATGACGGTAGAACAACTAAGAGAGAGTGTGTAGCCTGTGACGTAGATGATATTGCCTTTAAGAATCCTCAGGTGACACCCTATTATATAGTTGAGATATATGAAACGACGGTCGAATAACTAAGAAAGTGTGTGTAGCCTGTGACGTGGATGATCTTGCCTTTAAGAATCTTCAGGTGACACACTATTGTATAGTTGAGATATATGAAACGACGGTAGAATAACTATCATAGTGTGTGCAGCCTGTGACATAGATGATCTTGCCTTTAAGAATCCTCAGATGACACCCTATTGTATAGTTGAGGTATATGAAACGACGGTACAATAACTAAGAAAGTGTGTGTAGTCTGTGACGTAGATGATCTTGTCTTTGAGAAGCGTGGACTGTGTACGATCCTTAGGTGACACCCAATTGTCCTAGTATGCACGGTGTGCGGGATGGATAACGAAATATGAGATCAATGTAAAACAAAGACGATGAACTTTCTGAGAAATGTGTGTGTAGCCTGTGGCACAGGTATCCTTGCCTCTATGCAGAGTGAGAGAGTGATGAGCATGGGACCTGTCGGGCAAAACACACGGTATTGCGTAAGGTATACCCATGGGAGGTAAGGCAAGAAGACATCACATATGAGAACTGTATTTAGCTTGTGACACAATCGACTCTACATTGAATAGGCCTGAACTGCGTGCGGCCTACACCCTATAGGTACTCTTATAGCATAACTACACCCTATAGGTACTCTTATAGCATAAGCACTTCTACAGTATAGGTAGGCTGTATAGTATAGGTAAGCTATTGACAATAACTACTATAGCATAGGGGTTTTCCACACAAGTAGACATTCACTACTATATCATAGGTAGGCTATAGTTATACACACAACTATAGACATTAAGTACTATAGTATATGTAGGCTATAGTCCTCCACACAACTACAAAAATTCACTTCGATACACACTCTATAATAGTGCCGATGAACCCACCTTTTCAAAACTCGTACTTAAACCCGCGCGGGCATCGGAACACTCAATTATAAATTAACAATCACTAGGAGAATAGAATGATAACAATGTGTAAAGTCTTCAGCATTGGAGAAGTGCACGTGCAGTCTCGAGGTCAGAATTTATGGGTAGATAGAAGGTGTTCGGGAGGACCCCTATTTATCTGAGAGAAATCGGGGCAAATGAACTGGGTAGAGCGAGTGTGTATCTTCAGGATAAAACTATTTTCTCTGAGACTGGAGCAGATCTGATTTGTCGTCCCCAATATACCAGCCCGCACAGAAATATACACAAGCACAACTCCCTCAAAATTCTCAGACACAAGTAGCCAAACCAGCATACGTATATACATACTGATTTAAATGCATACATACATAATTTCATATCTACATATCTACATAGATACATAGATACATAGATACATACACACATGGATACATAGAAACATACATAGATACATACATATATACCTATATACAAAAATGCATACGGACATACATACATACATAAATACATAGATTCATACACGCATACATACGTACATATATACATACATACATACATACATACATACATACATACATACATACATACATACACGCATACATAGATAAATAGATACCTAGATACTTAGAATGAATACATAGATACATAGACACATAGATACATAGATACATAGATACATAGACACAAACATACCCATCCGAGACCAATATAAAGGCCCCAATCTGTGCATTCTCCTGCTGCAACTTCCTCTTCTTGTCATTCATGTACTGCTTGCCGGAGTAGTCCTCCTGCCACCTGCGCTTGCGCCCATCCCGAACTTCGGGCGGCTCGTTTCGGCCAGACCTGTCCACAGTTAACGATCCAAAGGGTATTAGCACTTGCTTCTTGCTATAGTCATTCGCTGGGTTGATGTGCTCCTGTGTAGGTATGGGCGTGCCCAACCCGTCGGCCTCCCTTGTCAGCCCGCCAACGGTCTCATTATTTCTCTGATCCGTACAAACCGGTATTTGACCCTCGACAGACTCGACTTCTGTATCCGGACATGGATCGGCATCATTTGCTAAAACTTGAGGTTTCACCGCGCGCACAGGCGTACTAGCAATCTTGGGCTTAAACTCAGATGCACCAGACAAAGCAGCACCAATCGGCAGGAGAGTTGGTACCAGCTCCCGGCGTGCGGGAGGCTTGCACCCCGGGAAGAAGCGTATGGGATTGTCGTATGAATTCACGGCACTGACCCACTCGCCCTGTTTCCTCCTTTGCTCTGCTTCGCTTAAATGCACCTTCTTACGTTGTGTAACGGGGTTCTGGTTGGTATATGCAGTGTGTGTTTGTGTGTGTGCGGTTTTCTCACGAAAATTCGGGTCCGTTCTTCTGTTCCCGGCGAACATGGCGTGCATGTATTTGTCTGTGGAGCTTGTGTTTGTGTTTGTATTTTTGTTTGTGTGTGTGTTTGTGTTTGAATTCGAGTTTGAGTTTGAGTTTGAGTTTGTGCGTGTGCTTGTGGTGTCTGTGTGTGAGGATCGAGCTTCTCTGTGTGAGGAACGGTCAACCCCACCCACGGCACGTGCACCTAAATGCGTGGAATCGACGCGTGTCCTCTCCTGTAGTCCAGTGTGAGAGTGACTAACATGTCGTGGTTGTAACGAGTCTTTCAGCCCTCTGACATACGACGACAACGGTACAGTAGCACCAGCTACACTACTGTCCCTACGAGCTCGATCATTAAATAGATCACTTTCGTGTGTACCTAGTCCACTCTGAGCAGCGTTCGCCCGCGCATTGTTCGGGCCGTTTAATAAGGAAGCATCTTTGCCTAACAAGGAAACACTTGACTCCAATGTCCCGTCCATAGACTCACCCGCCTCGTCCCAGAATGCATCATCGACATCGAGCGCAGCGTCAAATGCGTCGTCTTCATACATCACTGCATGTACCGGGCTTGAGTCACTAGTATAACTAGGTCAAGCACAACCATCACCTGTACTGCCGCTTATGCAGCTGAACTGATACATATATGTCTGTGTGATACTTCTTTAGGTATCAGAATGAAAACCCCCTTGTATTTTATTACATCTGTTTAATATGATCAGTCTCTATAAGAACGGCATGGGAATACATGCATAAATGTACCACCATATAGGGAACGGTTGATATATGAGTTGCTTTAATAGATGGCATATTACACGATATCTGCAATGCTGATAATAACTAGTATAGGAAACAGTTGTTATATGGGCTGCTCTAGAAGGCGGTACACTACACGACACGATAGCTGTGATATAGTTACTGTTCACTAGTACTTGATATGTGTATACTATCTCCAAGTGTAATAAATATGTAGCAAGCATCTGGCACGATTCCATTCGAGCCCGCCAAAAAAAGCGATGACTCATCAATTGGAGAAAAGCCAAGATCTATTTATATCTCCACGTGAAACACCAGCACGTATTATTTTCAAAAAGAAAACCGCAAATTTTTTTTTTTTACAGGCCACAGGTGAGGCCGGGGGATGTTGTGCAACTGTGCCCAGTGCAATGAGCATATCCTCCTCCTCTATCGTGTACTTCATGTATTTATCTCCATATTCATTTGGGCGAGTCCAGCTTTTCTGTATATGTATACACTAAATATATATACCATAGTGCCGGTTCGTCATTGTCAGTATCTCACATTTATGTTTACCGGGTGATACTCAATAATACTACATACGCGTATGCCGAAGCTTATTCAGAACTATTTGGTGTGGTTTGACAAAGTCGACGACGTTGCAACAGTTTAATATCTAGACGCACACACATCGCACGCATTATATATATATAATATCGTCATGTCGAGTGGATATCTTTTTGGCCGTGGTTTACGTGCATCTACAGGGTATGTACGTAACCTATCACTACGTGACAGTATGCATGGGGACGTGCATTACAATACACTTAAACAGGCCAGAACACAACGGTTTGGAAGGACCTCCCTTTGCAGTTGTCAATATATGCAAACGCGGAATAAGTCTGCGATAGTACAACCGCACTCACAGTCAGACTCGGACTCGCATACACCTACACCTACGCCTACACACAAAGGTACCAATACAGATACAAATACAAGTACCCGGGGAGGTATACCAAGTAAATATAATGATACGAGAAAAACCAGTACAAATATTACGGACAATGCTGCAGCGCTCGATAAAACGACCCGAGCCTTCCGCACACGCACACACAACAGGCAACGCAATACAAAGCTCAGAGATAGGGAAACTGCTGAGGAAGAAGCTATAGAGCGATTAGCTGATACACAAAGGAAAGACAATATTGTGATGCGTAATCGGAAAAGTACTAAAGCGCCTAGCAATAAGAATATACTGAGCGTGCTACAGCATGAGTTTGGCAATAGCCCACCAGAAAAGGTGATGCCTGAAAGCCAGAGGTTGAAGTATGAACGACAAGAGGAAGATAAAGTGATGAGGAAGAGTGTATACCAGGGCGTGGTGATGGAAGGAGAATCGGGCAAGTCAACGGGATGGGAGAATATAGAGGACGGTAAGTGTGGTGTGCATATAGTAATAGGTTCGGCTACATATATATAAATATATATGTAACTTTCTGTCTATATAATCACGAATATGTCTACATGTAGTTTTAGTTGCACACACACACACACACATATATATATATACATGTACGTATCTACATGCGTATATATATATATATATAAATATACATACACAAACACACACACACACACATATATATATTATA